AAAGCCGGAGCAAATTCTTTTTGATCTGGTTTGGGTGTCCTCGGAACCACATCGACTTTTAATAATCAATCATGGTAAGTAGATAGAAATAGAATATTCAAAGTTCAAAGCACAACAAAGTAATGAGTGATTTTTGCTGATGTTTTCACCTTCTTCTACGATAGTTTCTTAGAAGTTGGTAATCCAGATACCCCCAAACCCCCACCCCTAAAAAAAACAACCCAAAAAACTTAACAGAGAGAGAGAAGGGAGACTGAGAGACAGAGAGACAGACAGAAAAACAGACAGTCAGACAGACAGAGAAAAAAAAGAAAGAGAAAAAAAAAAAAACGAAAAACAAACCCATACACAACAAAGGAGACAAAAGAACCGCCTTATTCTCATAATTCCTCGTCTATAGCAACCGGCGTACACGTTGGTAGGAGTATGCAAAACGTTAGACCTCCTCCCCCCTCGCCCGCCAAAAAAAACCCGCAGAGTGTACGTGTCTGTGTGTGTATAATAATAATATAGTCTAGTGTATAGCTTGAAGTGAATCCGCATGCGGGGTCGATCACGATCTTATGACGCCGTGACATGGTAAGAAATCCTCCGCATTGCGACAGACCCGAGCCGTGAAGTGTGCTTACTTACCTCTCAAGGGGAGAGGCCCGCCCGGTGCTCCAACGGATAGCTTTACTTTACCTCTCTTTTTTCCCCGCGCTCCGGCGATTTGATTTGTCGGTCTTCTCCGCGCCAAACGCTGGGCACATACCAAAAGGAAGCCCAGTGAGTTGTGACTGGGAACTGTGATCGAACCAAAGTTGAGAAGAAAAAACCGACAAAGCATAAATCCTTACTCGGGTGTCAAGAGTTTATAATACCCATACCTTTAGCAACTGCATTTTTAAAGTAATACTACATTTTTTTAGTAATACTTTCTTAAATTCACGGCACATTCAGGGGAATTAATAAACAATTTTCTCTGTTATCAGGCCCATTTAGTATTGATTATATACTAATTTCCGAGAAGCCGCCAGAACAAATTTTCTTTTTTAATGTCATGACTGAAACCTCTATCATTTGTATTTGAACATGCATTCTTGGTAGTAAAATTAACTTGTGCTGATGTACAAAGCAAAAATAGCACTGACGAC